TCATAGAAAAATATATAAATAATTATTTTAAAAAAATCACTTTTTTATTAACATTATTCTCCCAAGGTTGGGAGAAGCTCGACCTCGAGCTTACATCCTTTAGAAGCCAATCGAATAACTGGTAATATAGTCCCACTATGCATCTCGGTAATTTTTCTTCAATAAACCATTTCTTCTAATATTTTGTTATCATCTTGAAGTATAATACTGAAATCTCGAGCTCAATTATGATTCCATTTTCAAGTTTCTCATAAAACTCGGGAATATTGAGGTGAATACTAAGGTCTTGTGGATGCTCCCCAGATCGTGGTTCTTACATCACATTGTGATCGACATATTCATGATTGGCACCCCTAGTCAGGCGTATAGTTAGCTAGTCTCTATTTAAAACATGCATTTTTTAAATACGTTTAGAACTCCAAGTTTGTCAAAAGATATTCAGAAAATCACGTTTTTTTTAATGGAACCGATATAAATGTGTATTTTTTTCTTTTTTTTACAAAAGACTTATTCTCTATAACTTTATTGATTCATTAACTTAATGTAATTAAATTTTAGTTTAAAGATAAGTACATTAACAGTGGGATTAAATTAAGAGTCTTGACTTGACAAAAAATTCCATCAAAAATTTCAGCAATGAGTTCCCTTAAAAAAGTGTACCAAAAATATAAGCAATATATTTCTCATAAAAAAATAGTTAAAACAATTGTATATCTTAAAATAATAGGCATAATTAGTAGAAGAGTAACCTAATGGAAAGTCTAATTTTTTTTCTTTAAACTCATAATGTCCTTATAAAGAGTAAGAGAGAGATTCAATGACACTAAAGATTTAGGTAGCTGGGAATTTAGTGCGAGATTCAACTTTTCTTAAGCATTTTATTTTTTGTTTTTTTTATGAATAGATAAGTTTGATTAATTTCATATTTTATTTTTGTTTTTATATTTTATTGGTGTATACAACATAGCATTGTGGATAGACCATTATTTTACATTTTGGTCTTTGCATTTTATTTTAATTAGCTGCAATCCTATATTGAGGGCATTTTTTTTTTTTTTGAAACACTAATCCTATACCTTGGTACACAATTCTCGTTATTTGTTAATTAGCTATTGTAAGTTGGTCTTTCATTTTGTGCTCCTAATAAATTTACAATATGTTTTATAATGTGACAATATAGTAAGCATTGTTACTAGATTTATTTAAAGTTTTAACAAAAAATGGTCAAGTATTACTCTAATGACACTAGTAAGGCTATAAAATTATTGTTTAATGGCTTTAGTATATCGATACAATAGTTGTAAATCATAATCCTACATTGCATCATCTTTACATATCCATTTTTTTCACTATATTTTTTTGAACCCTATTCGAAATATTCACAATTCTATAGCTTACCTTATTTTTTGGCGATCAATCTGTTTTACCCAATTTTTTCCTCCGACTTTTTGAAATAAACTAATTTTATTACGGATGTTTTGGTTTGCCGATATTTTATAATTTTTCGACTTGCTAACTATGGTCAGTCGTGGGCCTTGATTCATCTCTACAATGAAATATGGTGTCGAATCTTCATGGTTGCAAGCAGCATCCTCTTGAAGAGTAGTATTCTCCAACTACTGTAGTCACCATTTCACAAACATTGCTTAAAACAGCTTCCATGACTTTGGTTAAACTTTCTAAAATCTATCTCATGCGATCATTAATAGCAGGAGTAGTTTTTTCAGTGGCATTGCAATGACTTGATATTCTTTGCTCTGATTCCAATTGATGTAGAAAAAATAATCCGAAAAAATAAAAAATAAAACTAAAAGAGTTGAGAGATTCCCTCTTTGGGTCTGCAAGGGAGTCCACTCTAATATATTTTCACAAGATCAAACTATTTCTTTCTTATCCAATTAGAAGGGATATCTTCCCTTTAAATACAAATTTATAATGTAATAAATAAAAATAACAAACTAATCTCTATCTCTCCATTATCTCTTAAAAACAAATCTAACATATCCTAACTTACCGAACCATGCTAATCTCTATCCATATCCATCTTTTTTTAAAAAAAACTAGACATTCAATTCTTCCCCTTAAATCTATACAACTAAAAAAATACAAGAATAACCTTAGAGAAAATTTAAAATCCAAATAATAGATTTTATAAATCCGAAAAAATAAAAAATAAAAAATTACTTTTTTATTTGCATCATTCTCCTTGGATTGAGAGAAGATTGACCTCGTGTCTACATCATTTATATATCAATCCAATAATTGGTGAGTAGCCCTACCAACACCTCAATACCTTTTCAATAAACCAATTCATCAAATACTATAACACTAAGGTCTCGAGCTCAATCATGATTTCTTTTTCAAATTTATAATAAAACTCGGGAAGATAGATCTGAATACTAAGATCACATGGATGCTCCTCATATTGTAGTTCTTGTGTCACAATATGTTTGTCACATTCAGGATCGACACACCTAGACAATTGTAGGCCTCGATTTATCTCTACAACGAAATTTTTTGTCGGATCTTCATGGTTGCAAACACCCTCTTCTCGAATAATAGTATTCTCCAATCGTTGAAACCGTTGATTCATTTCATGAGTATTGCTTCGAACATCTTCCATGACTTTGGTTAGATTTTCTAAAATTTGTCCCATGCGATCATCTATAGCATGATCAGTTTTTAGTAGTATTGCGCTGACTAGATCTTATTTGCTTAGATACTAACTGATATAGGAAAAATAAATAAACTAAATAGATCAAACTTTTTTTTTTATTCTCTAATCACTCTCTACAAATAAGGGGTCTCTTCCTTTTAAGTACAAACTTATAATGAATAATGAACAGTGAATAATGAATAATGAATAATAAATAATAAATAATAAATAAAAATAACAAACTAAACTTCATTTTTCTTATCTCTTAAAAGCAAGTTTAATATATCCTAACCAATCCAACCATGCTAATCCCTATCTATGTCCATCTTTTTTTTAAAAAAAAGAAACTGGACTTTCAATTATATCCCTTAAATCTCTATAGAAAATTAAAAATTTAAACAATATATTTTTAAATCTTAAAAGAATTTAAAATTTAATTTTTTTCAAAGTCACTTTTTTTTTTGCATCGGTCTGTCTATTGGTTCCTCGTATTTAGCTGTAGTTGCTTCTAGACTAGCACACACTTGTTCATGTATTCCTTGCATCTATTCAACCAAATCCACAACAATAGTATTACTCTCCCCATTGGCCTAGATAGGAACCAAGTCAAGTGAATGAATAGGTTTTTTCCATATACTACTACCTTAAACGAACTTACCAGTACACTTATTGCGAATATTTTTACATGCAAACTCGGCTTGAGGTAGTGCTAGGTCCCACTCTTTATTCTTTTCCATCACAATACTTCTCATAAGATTGCCAAGAGTATGGTCTACCACTTCATTCTGACCACCTGTTTGCGGATGATAAGTACTACTAAACTGTAACTGAGTGCCTAAATTATTCCAAGAAGTCCTCAAAAATGGTTAGAAACTTAATATATTGATATGAAGTTATTGTTTTTCAAACACATGCAACCTCACCACCTCTTTGAAGTACAAGCTAGCAAAGTATATGACATCCAGGGTCTTCTTGCAAGAATTTGTCCACCACCATGAATATAGAATTCATAGTGCTAACATTCCACTAGGACACGGGATCCAATCATAACTGTTTTCTGATAATGGGGTTGGGGTCGTAGTGGCACCACTTGTGCCACAGCTAAGGTTTAGGCTTCCATTATCATCTAACGCATTTAAAAAACCACTAACAATTTCAAAAAACGGGTAGGGACTCGTCATCCCCACATATTACCCAAAAAAAAGTAGAGAATAAAGCCTGGTCGTATGTCGTTGCTCCTTAGCCAACTGACATGTACAACACCTCTCAACTAAAAAAAATGAAATAACCCCAAAACAACTAAAAAAACTATTCAAACTATTTTTTGCTCTTAAAATCCATTAATGAAAAAACCCCAAACACATTCATTTTTGTCTCGCCGTATCCAAATTGGCTCGTCTGAGTAATCAAACATTGACTTTGGCTATACAAAACAGAGGACATGATCTATCTAAAGAAACAATGATGAAATTGTAGAGAGAGAAAGAAGAGATAAAAAAAAATTTAAAGAGAGAAATAAGAGATAAATATTAAAAAGAATTATAGAAAGAAATGATAGATAAACATAAAAAGTATTAGAGATGAAAAAGATAAATATTATCCAAGTAAACGATGATGATAAATATTATCTAAGGAAATGATGACGAGATTGTAGAGAAAAAGAAGAGATAAATATTTAAAAGAATTAGAGAGAGAAAGAAGGGATAAATATTAAAAAGAATTAGAGAGAGAAAGAAGGGATAAATATTAAAAAGAATTAGAGAAAGAAAGAAGGGATAAATATTAAAAAGAACTAAAGAGAGAAAGAAGAAATAAAATTAGAGATGAAAGAGATAAATATAAAAGAAGGAAAAAAGGGTATGGCACTCGTATAATAGGTTTTAGTTTTACAGTACTTAAAGTGTCGTAATTGACTTCACGGATGACCAGAGTTTTACAAATACTTAGAGTACACCGTAATATTACTTGAAATTTTTATGGTATTTTAATTACCGTAAAACTTACAATATATGCTACGGTAGAAATACTATCGTGAAGGACATTTTCGTAAAAAAAATCACAAATTGTGAGAAAGGGTGTAAACAAGTTTTTGAAAGTTTGGGTTTTTTTTTGAAAATATAGATATATTTATGATAATTTCCCTATATTTTTCAAAGACTATTTTTTAAATTTTTTTAAAAAATAGGAAAATATAAAAGTGGGGATTAATGACCAAAATAATTTTCAATCTTTATCATAATATAAAAAATATTAAAATATATTAAAAATCAAATTACTTATTTTTTAAAATTTATATATATTTTTTAAATTGTTTTTTTAAATCCTGACTGATTACCCTAACCGCCCAAAAACCTCGCCTTCTCCCGAAGGCTTAAAGTCGCAAAACAACCTCAATCGTTACGTCATCTCTCGATAATCATTTTGAACTCCGTTGTTCGCACATTTCCTGCAGATCTTTCAACTTTCCATCAATTCTCTCGAGTTTTCTTCCAAACCAGGTTTGAGCATCCTTATTTTATTTTTTATTTTCAGCTTTCGGGTTTTCATACTCTTGTAAGGGCTCTCTCTATACTTATTCCCCAAGTTCTCTCTCTACTTATTTTCCCAGTTTTTTTCTCAAAAGGAACGATGCAGATTTTTGTTGCAAACACTAACGGGGAAAACCATCACTCTCGAGGTCGAGAGCAGTGACACAATTGACAATGTCAAGGTGGAAATCCAGGTATTTGATGCTTCTCACTCCAAATTCTCATTCAAATTATTCCTTAACTCATGATATGTGTCTATGATTTTCCTTTTTTCAGGTTGTACATTCATCTTTGTAGGTTCGTGTTAGGTTTCGTGTTTTTTCTTTCCTGTTTCATGTTCAGCCAGTTGGGTGTTTACGTTTAGGCCTGAATTGGGTTCTGCTCTGATTGATGGTTCATGGTGGGTGCTTTACTGAAATAAAATTGTTATTGGGCTCGTTTTTGGATGAATATACTGGGTATTTCCATTTATGGGCTTATATTTCTCTTTGGATTCATTTTCTACTAGCTTTTTATGTGGGTTGAATCTATCCTGAAGCCATAAACTGAATTCGAGGGTGTTTATTTGTTTATTCCATTTGTTAAGATGTTCTTTTGGTTTTGTAATAGGAGATTTATGTGGGTCTTCTCTCTTGCTGAACTGTGTCGAAACTTTTTTTAGGGTTCCATTGTTGTTGGGTTTTCGCCTTCTGAGTTGGCTTTTGAGTTTTGGTTTGGTTGCTTTGTTGTTGAAGTTTATGGGGCTTTTTTCTACTAGTAACTTGATATTTTTCCTTTTTTTTTCTTTGTATTTTAGAAAGAGAATTGAAATTCTTGCAGTTCTAGGGGTTTTAGTTTTCTCTGTTTTTCCTATTTGCCCTTTCTCTCTTATTGGGTTTTTCTGAACTGGGTCTGATATTGTCTTCTTTCGTCATAGTAAGTTGTCATTCTTGTTTCTAGTTGTCTAGGACAAGTTTTCATTTGGATTTTTATGATTCTTCCTCTGCTATTTGATATGCATTCTTCACTGGTTTTGGAGACATTTTGATATGGTCTTTATAAGATCAATATTTCATTTTTTGGGCTTTTTAATTAAAATGTATGATGCCCAATTTCAGCCATGATTCCATCTTTTTGTGAATTAGTAATTTATTTGATTACTTGATAATTACACCATTTGCACAGTTGTATCTATACTACTTTTAGAAACTTATATTTCAATTATCTATGCTTCATGGTGTTCAATTTTAAAATTTGTTAATGGTGATACGTTTTCTATTGGGATAATGAGGGAATTCCTCCTGACCAACAGAGACTGATATTTGCTGGCAAGCAACTACAGGATGGGTGAACTCTTACTGATTACAATATACAGAAGGAATGCACCCTTTATCTTGTGTTGAGGTTGAGAGGTGGTATGATGATCAAAGTTAAAACTCTTATTGGCAAGGAGGTTGAAATTGACATCGAACCAACTGATACAATTGAGGATTAAGCAGCGAGTCGAGGAACAGGACGGAATACCCCCAGTTCAACAAAGGTGAGAGACTAGAATTTCATTTTCTTTTTCTGCTTGATTTGCTCTTTTGTTAATTTCCCTGCACTTTTTTTTGAATGAGAAAGATCATTTCCCCTACCCTTGATTTATTAGGAAAAATAACATCAATGGGGAATAGGAAAATAATTCTCCATTTTCCCGATCATATGCTATTTCTATATCAGTCACATACATATGGTTCATGTTGTTAGTTTGCTTTTATGTGTGTAGTCTAAGTTTGCTGATGTTTTTTTAGAGTTTTTTGTTATTTGAAATATTAGTCTACCTTTGATTTATTGATCTTGAGCTATACCCATAAACATAGGCTTCCTCATACCTAAGTATATAGTATGTACATATATGTATGGTCATTTTTAGTTCCATTCATAGAAACATGCACATGTATAGATCCTGGTGCTTGTGTTGGCCTATGCTATAAAGACATAATATGAGGGTTAGCATCCAACACAGGTATGCTTGTTAGAAATGCCAATCAAATTGGCATTTTTGGACCCATGTTCATACATCACTTAGGGGAGCTTGGATTAAGTACTTCCACACTCCATGACATTTCAAAGGAAACATTTTAGCAAGAAATGGATAAGTTCGTGAAGTGATGGGATGAGTGATGTGCCTTGGTGTGTCACATTGTGCTGAGAATTGTAGATAAACTTTTCCAAGTGCACACATGCAGGTTGTTCAAATGAGTTCCCCCACATGGATGTGGTCATGCATTACTGTGTGCATGCATGATATTCGATGAGTCTTAGAGTATGCTGTGAACGTATCCTCTGTGCATGATAACATCTACAACCTCATGTATGCTTGCTGGATGTTCCACAATGGTTGGTTAATTAGTATATGCATTGAAGGATCATGTTATTGGCTTTTATATTCGTTGACGAGAAAATATCGTATTTTAAAGATGCAAGTTCCACACAATTTATGTGATGAAAGGTGTGCTTTAGTACTACCATACAAGAACTTTCTTCAGTTCATCTTTTTGCTGCACAAATCAGTTACATTTCAAAGACAATGGCTAAAATATTTTTTTGGTTTATGGCCTGTGTTTCCTCATATCTATGCAATGTTGATTCTCTAGAAGGCCTTTGAACCAATGGAGGTGGCTACATGGTTGAGCCACTGAGATAGTCTAACAAGTTGGTGCATCTATATTAACACTTTCATAATGCCAAATGCTAATAAATGTTCATAGTCTATGCTGGGATAACTATTCAACCTTTACAAATTGCATGTGCATAGGCCAATAAAGCTGAAGGGAAGTCGTTCGGCGTTGTTTTACCTCCTTTGCAGCTCATGGATCAAGTTTTCGCAGGGGACATGACATAACGCAGCCTATGGAACAATTTAGTTTTATTAATATCATTTGTGTTCTTGTGATCAGAACCTATGCAAAGTGTAATTTTGGACTTCTTGGGGAATGAGTATTAAACTTTTTATTATCTAACTTCGTGAACTTCTTTATTATCTAAGGAGATGCAGTGTTATGGATATAATGTAATATGGGAATAGATTATCATGGGTTGTGTACATTGAGAGAGAGAGAGAGAGAGAGAGAGAGAGAGCAATAATTCAACCTATAAAAATACCAAAAAATATGATCCGAACCTTCTAAACTGCATTAACTGCAAACAACTAAAACCTGGCTTTCATCTTCATGGTGCCAATCAGGGTATTTTTTATATACTGGGTTCTTCCTGCAGCCAGCCAAACAGCATTTTGCTCAAAACTTGCTTTTACATCTACTAGAATGAACAAAACCAGATATTGAGGAAAACTCAGGATTTGCATATCCCGGGACCCCAAACGACCCAAGTGTTAAGGTTTCTACCTAATGGTTTCACCTCCATCGCTGGCTGCACCAAACCTAGAAGGCTAGACACTTTGGTTAAGTGGTTGCTTCTCTCTCTCTCTCTATTCTCTAAACCAAACAAACAAGTTAGTGCTTGCTTCTCTCTCTCTAAACCAAACACAGTGTGAATCACAACTTTTTGAGCCAAGCATTCTACGGGTTCAAGCTGCTGCTACTGTGCCAATCTTTAAGCCACCGTCGGCCATCGCTCTTTTGTCTCGCCATTGAAACACAGTCGCTCAAAAAATAGTATATGCCCAATCCATTCTCTACTTTTTTTTTTGAGTGTTATCAATGTTTTTAGGGTTATTTCGAGCAGAAAAAAAATCGGCCAAAGCTTAGATTTCTCTCTCATTTCTCAGTTATTTTTTATGATTTTTTATTCTTGTTGAAGCTCTTCAAATCCCCTAAAGAAGCCCTATGCTCAAATCTGAGCATTTTCATTGCTTAACAGAGGGACCTTTGAAGAACTTGTAAAATCCACCATCTTTGAGATATCTCTTTCATTTCTTAGTTTTATTTATTTATTTGTTATTGTTGTTGAAGATCTTCTAATCCTCTACAAAAACCCTAAATCGATCTCTTTTATTTCTATTTTTTGCTCTTTCTCTAGATTGTGATTTCTTTATTTAGTGTTATCCGTATTTTGTTCATCTCTATGTTATGTTTTATGAGAATAGTGAATTAAATTCATAGGGTTAGGCTCATAATTTATTTTAGTGCTGACTTTATAGAGTTATTGCAAGAAATTACTGTTATCAGTATGTGATTTCTAGATTGTGATTTCTTTATTTACTGTTATCAGTATTTTGTTCATCTATGTGTTATGTTTTCTGAGAATATTGAATTAAATTCATAGGGTTAGGGCTCATAATTTATTTTGGTGCTGAATTTATAGTGTTATTGGAAGAAATTACTGTTATCAATATGTGATTTCTAAATTGTAATTTCTTTATTTAGTGTTATTAGTATTTTGTTCATCTCTGTGTAACTGTGTTATGTTTTGTTTTATGAGAATATTGAATTAAATTCATAGGGTTAGGGCTCATAATTTATTTTGGTGCTGAATTTACAGTGTTATTGGAAGAAATTACTGTTATCAGTATGTGATTTCTAGATTGTAATTTCTTTATTTAGTGTTATTAGTATTTTGTTCATCTCTGTGTAACTGTGTTATGTTTTATGAGAATATTGAATTAAATTCATAGGGTTAGGGCTCATAATTTATTTTGGTGCTGAATTTATAGTGTTATTGCAAGGAATTAATATTCCCGACTCCACACACACACTTCCTTGGCCATTGATTTGTAGAGCACGCTCCAAGAAAGTTACTTATTGATTTATCATGACAGGAAACATAAATATCAACAGAAATGCCTCTTTAAATTCCTTGCACTGTTTTTTATTTGCTTATTTATTTTTGATATCATGCAAACTGTTTTGGTTTACTAGCCATTTAAGTGGGCACTTTTTGGCGGGAAATGGATATTACTTTGGGAACCATGAGTTCTCTCAAGAAATAGATATTTCTTTATTTACTGTCTCTAGATTGTGATTTCTTTATTTACTGTCTCTAGATAGTGTGCTCTTAGATGCGAAGGTATCATTGTATTTGTCTTTTATGCTACTGTTGTGGTGCATTTCTATTGCTATTTTCTTTTTTTGATACTGTTGTGTTCTTTTTTATTAGCAAAATGTCTCATGTTAAAGATAGTTCTGCACAAAATACTGTAGAAGAGGTTTCATATGTGACCTCTAAATATAGAAATGTTTCTATTGTATGGGAAGAGTTTGATAAGATCAATAAAGAAGATGGTTCTGTAAAAGCAAGGTTGTAAGCATTGTTCTGTACAACTAACAGGAGGTAGTGCAAGCGGGACAAGTCATTTACATAACCATTTAGGAAGATGTACAATGGGAAAACATACAGCTTTAGGCCAACAATTATTAACAACTCATTCAAGAAAGGGGAGGGGGTTTTAGAGAATTTTAAATTTGATCAAGAAAGAAGTAGGAATGAACTTGCAAAAATGATCATCCAACATAATTACCCATTCAGGATTGTGCAACACTCAAGATTTAGAGATTTTGTGAAAAGTCTTAAACCATTTTTAAAATGGTTTCCCTCTTCACAGTAAGATCAGATGTTATAGAAATTTACATGAGTGAGAAAAAGAGATTGCATATGGAGTTAGAGAAAATTCCAAGTCATGTGAGGTTCACCACTAATAGGTGGTCTTCATGTCGGAATCAAGGGTATTTGTGCTTAACTGCACATTATATCGATGAATCATTGCAATTATAGAAACGAATACTTAGTTTTGTATATGTACCATCTCCTCATACAGGAGAGGTCATTTGCTACAATGCTTTTAGATCTTTTAGTGCATTGGAAGCTTGAAAAAAAGGTGTTTACAGTTACTCTTGATAATGCAGCATATAATGATGTTGCAGCATCATCCCTCTAGAGACAATTGTATCGAAATTCATCCATTGTCCTCGAGGGTAAGATGTTTCATGTGCGATGTTATGCACATATTTTGAACCTTATTGTGCAAGATGGGTTAAAATCAATAGGTGTTGTGGTTTACAAATTAGAGAGGGTATCAAGTATATCAAAGGCTCACAAGCTAAGCAGGAAAGATTTAATGAAACAATGTATTCACCATATCAAGTAACAAAAGTGAACACCGCATTTAAATTGCTCACATAATTCTAGTCTTCTATTGACATTCATATCCATCTAGCCAACATGATTCACAAAATTAAATACAAAGCCGTTCAATAAAATCTTACTTGTCACCTTAAACATTCTACCAGCACCCATGTCCTTCATCATGTACAAGGCTCTCAAATTCAACAATTGGAAAACTTTGTATCTAGGATAAAGCCTGGTTCAACACTATAAATGAAAATACTTTCTATAAACAATAAAAAGGGGATCATAGCCAAGAGTTTTAGTAAAGAAATCTCACCTATCTTGAACTTTAGTCTCAAAAGTTGAGAAATTCTTTGGAATTATTCAATTATTGAGAAAAGCTTTGGAAGCTTTCATTTCCAAAACCTTTGGAACCTCTTGAGAGAAATGATTAAAAATTTGACTATCACAGAAAAAAAATGAAGGATTTCA